TGCGCACCATGTACCCCACGTCGGGGGCGCGGGCCTTTTCAGCAGCTCGGAGACTCATTACTGGTCCAGCCGGAGTCGAGGCCATTCTGAAATCGGGCGTGCGGTGAGTGTGGGGAGAGGAGTGAAGTGTTTTGGCTTTAGCTCGTTCGAGAGGCTGCCCATGATATTTATGCATTCCGCACCTGTGGCCGGCCACATTCGCTGGGATCGAAGGGCTCTCCGACGAACTTCTCGCTCATTGTTTGACCGCCCATGTGCTGTTAGTATCAATGTACCAAGGGCTCCAGTCGAGACACCAATATGAGAGAAAGTTGCCGAAGACAAATCCGCTTATTGTTTCGAACGATCCACGCGGCGATAGTAATTGTTCCTGCTTATTGTCATGAAGTGAAGAGAACACAATACATAAGGCGCCGAATATAGTTGTAATCATCACTATCACTTACCATGGAGATTCTCATTGTCCTGAACGCGGGGCTGGTGAAAAGAAAAAACCACTCGGCCGATGTGTTGCTGCCAACAGTGTTGGAACTTGGCAGTAAGAGAGGAGATGAAGCGGGATGGTGGCACCGAACAAGATCCACATCGGCGCGACTTCCGAGTCTTTTTTCTTTCATTCGAATTCCTCGAATTTACAATCCACATCAATTGATCAGTGCATGTAGACTTTACTACAATCCCCCCGTATCTTATATTTGAGATCCGCGCTCGTCGCTAGAGTTCATGACCGTCGCACTTTGAGCGAGATCCTGCTGCTGCTGTCCTGGCGCTTATTCAATGGAGCTTAGCTCCGACTCGGATTATCGCCTGCCTGCCTCCTCAATTCTCATCGTATCAGCACCATCCTGCTTTGAGGCCAAATATCCTCCGAAAACCGTCTACTTGGGCGTAATGTCCAAGCGTTTGATTCCAGCCGCGAAGTCGTCGCTGGTATGCTTGCTTCAGTAGTGACGTCATTCGCAGTTGTGTTTACAATACGTGTAAGCTTTTGGCAATGCGACACTCTCCAGTCTTATGGATATATAACCGCAGTTTTCGTCACCACTGCCGGTATGAAGATTTTCCAATACGATATACAACAGCAGCTATGAAGGTGCAGAATGTCCTCCGGCCCCTGACATTGTACGACCTGGATACTACGTTTCTCTCTCTGACTCCGGTAAGCCACAGCATATATATGTGGATGCAGAGCATGATTAAATCAACGGCCAACTCGTCCCGCCGGGTCCCCTCTTCGTGTCGAATTGGCATCTTCCCTTCCCCGCGGTCGCATTCCCACACGCTCAAACATACCGGCTCCGGGTCACGTCAGCACGTCCTCACGTATCCCTTCAATTGAGGTCTCGCTGATACATGTCGTCTTCGTGGGGGGCTCATTGTCGCACTCGTGCACGCGCAAGAGGCGGCAAATGCCTCAATACCGGCCTACTGAATCCCAGATGTGCAATCGCCTCAGAGTCGCACATGTATTTCCACAAGCACACGACGCAGAGGTGAGCCTCCTGCCCTTGTTACCGGTGTCATCACAGTGGACACGTATGGGGAACACGGGCAAGGCGATTGATGGCGCAGACGAAGCCGTTCTTGGACGTCGGACACGATTCGACTTGGTGCAGAATACTACGATCCCACTCTGAGGCGACCTGCACGACTCGTGGGATGTGCGCGAATTTAAAGTGGATCCGAACGTACGGCCCGTTTTGTGCATGCGAAATGCATCGAAGACTAATATATTCTTGCAGAATGGCTACTGGATTACGGCCTTCACCAGTGGAAATGAAGACAACAACGGCATGCATCTTCAGCCGGGTCATATTCAAGATCCTAAACTTCGCCCGTTGGACGAGCCATATCGATCGCTGTATGCAAGGTCTCTGCAACTATATGAAAGGCGCAGGCGGCAACGGATGGGACTTTGGTGATTACAAAGGAAGCTTCGGAAGGAGGGGCCTTTGTGAACTCTGCGATCTGGCTTACTGAAGAGGGTGGAGTGCAGCTTGAGCTGGGACCGGCTGATCGACTGTTTGATCATCGTGTATCACAGGATGCGAATGCACATGGGCCGGTTCTTGACTGGGCTGAGCGACGCTCAGCAGCATGCGCCACATATGCAGCATTCACTCAAGAAGTTCCTTCAGGGAGCCGATGGGCCGATGGACATCCGCTATGCTGGGCTCTTGGTCGAACATGCGTGCGCGAGCTATGCACGAGGGAGGGAGGGAGGGAGGGAGGGAGCTCGCCTGGACGCGGCGGATGTGCCAGCGCCAGGCCGGGGTGTGGCGCAGAGCGACTGACAATCGCGCTCGGCGCGGATGGTAGTTCGGACTCTCGCATGCCCACGGCAATTACATAGCCATTTTTTGGCCAGCTGACGGGCCCATGCGACTTTATACCGTCGGCCCCCATCGGGTGCACGCAATTCTCCCGGGACACTACTTGAACCCTTGAACCTCCTCAGACATCCATCCGCTCTGGATGGGACCGCCCGAAA